GTGGTGGTGGTGGTAGGAGTAGTAGTCGTGCTAGTAGGTAGTAGTGGTAGTAGTAATAACAATAGTAATAGTAACAGTAATAGTAGTGCTACTCGAAAAAAAAACAACGCAGCGAGCAAGTGTTACCAGGACCCGGCCAGCCTCCCGTCCGATCCAATGCCCCTGCCTCGGTGGCTTAGGGTCTGAGGGTTAAGAATGAGTTGAACAACAATGGGCTTAAGTTTTGGGTTTCGTAGGCGTCGGGCCTGTGTAATGTAGTGGAACTCCAATCATGAGAACGCCCCAACCCTGAAGAATACCTGCCCCAAGCCTAACAACCCAAAGCCCCAAATCCCTTAAGCCCTAAAGTTCAAACCCTAACGTCGTGCAGAACGTGCGACTGTCGAAAACCCTAAAGCCCTAAATCAGAGGCCCCCTGGTGAGTCCGAGTCGTGACAGCGTAAAGCCGTAAACTTAAACCCAGAGTAGGATCCTTAATATAATTTAAGGAATATTCCTTAATTAAGGAATATTGGAGTCTTTGGGAACCCCTTCAGCTGGGCATCCCCGGATCTGCCGTAGAAAGCCGAGGCCGGTTGCAGCTCGTGCTTCCGGCATTTCTTACGTTCACTGCTGTGCTGTCGTTGGGGCGTCGTACGAGAGGGGGCTGTCTATGTATGTGTACATATTCGTAGATATACATACGTTTAATTTTTTTGTATACACATGTAACATGTGCATGTTTATGTTGATGAGATTTTTAGTTGCGTGTTGAGTTTGTTCGGGTCTTGTAGGATGTTATGGAGATTTAGAAGGTTTCGCCTGCGAGGTTCTTCAGTTTGGGGTCAGCTTGTTCGGGATCGGAAGCAGGGCTAAAGAAACTGGAAACTGAACTGGGGCCAACCAGATATCAAGGCTGCTTTGCTTTTGCATGGACTCCTTCTGTTTTGTAGGCTCCAGCACAACTCTCAGGAAGGAGAGGACGGGTGGGCTGTCTCGCGCCGATTCCTGTGCGGCTCCAGCACATGAGAGATCACATGCTTTCCATGGATGCGCATTGGTTTTCTGAGCTAGACTCGAAAAGACCCGTCTTCATAGGCAGAGCATGGATGGATGCTGCCAGATTCTGTTAGATGTTGAGGGCCAGTGCCGGCCTTCAGCGCCCCAAGTGCAGCTGCACTCAGTGCTTCACTCAACAGTCCACAAACCGATCAGAAATCGCAGATAGGATTGAACCCCTAAACCCTAAGCCCCAAACCCGGGGAACCGAAGAAGAAGAAGAAGGTGAGTGCGTAGTGTTCGCGCTTGAGACCCCGACTGGCGGCCCCTTCGCCAGCTTGCCCGCCGCAGTGCCCAAGTGCCATGCCGTGCTTGCAGCACTTCCTGGAGGCATCCCAAAGTGCAGACATAAACTCGTACAGCTGTGAGCAGGCGTCTTTGCATGCATCTAGAAAGATCATATAGATCAGTAGATCGGTTAGATTAGCTTAGATTTGGCTAGTTAGATTCGATAAGGTTAATAGGACGTCTAGATCATTTAGATCGACTAGATTAGACTAGCTGGGATTAGATTTAGATAGGTTCAGATTTTGAATAGAGTACTTTGGACTCGAAGCTGGATCTATCGATAGACAGATAGATACAAATGGGTCGGTGGTTAGATAGAACGTATGACGAATACCTGCAGCCGGGGTGAGGCTTTTAGGCTTCTGGCTCATCGGGTCTGGCGTTTTTGGTGCCAGTGGGCAGGAGATGTATGCTATTCGTAAAGAAAGTACGCCCATCTTCGTCAGCCTTGCCTTAGGCATGAACCCCCCGCTAGCATATTTGACAGGGTGTGCTCGGCGGTGGTGCGACGAGGACACTCCGTGGCCTGCTTCTCAGCCGTGCTGTAGGGTCCATCAAGAACCTGACGTGGGATTTCTGCATTTGCGTGCGCATGCTTCCCTCACTGCGTTGAGGCGATGCTGCACTTTCTCGCCCAGTCTGGGAATCAGAGGCGTGTCCTTGGCCGCAGGCACGCTTCAGCGGGCAGCCTCCTGCCCTTGCCCCGTGTATATATCGACGATTTAGCGATGCTGCTTGTTGCCGCAGGATGCAAGCTGCAGCTCCTCTGCCTCCACCTCCAGAAGCCTCAGGAACCACCAGGTCTGTGTGATGCCGATCTCACTGACAGATCTCAGCTGCTCTCCCAGTGAGGTGAACACCTCCTTCGAGAAGGAAGAAGGTCTGCAGCAGCAGCTGTCAGTAGCGACCAAAGGGCCGTGGGACAGGCCATTCTCGTTTCCCTGCTTTGCCAGGGATGGACGAAGAGGAGGAGATAGATGAGTCGAAGCTGGAAAGCGGACTTCCTGACGACGACGCGGCTTCTCAAGCATTGGCTGCGATGCAACACTCGGCTCGTGAGTTCTGTGCATCTGCCTTTGAGGAAAGGACAGAGTGCAACTTGGACTCCCTGAAGCTTGGCAACCAGACAGGCGGTCCTAATTATGGTTTCAACGCTTTTGAGCACTTGTGGCACTCCTTTTGGGGCACGGAGGCAAGTGGAGCAAAGAGAGGGAAGACATAAAGCAAGGGCCCTGGCTTGCATTTGGATCGGATGTCCCGCAAGCCCATGCAACATCTATGAGGTGGGCCTACGATAACTCTTTGAAGGGCCAGGAAGTCCAAGTTTGGTGGCCTGGTCGTGTTGGGGGCTTAGTCAGGCTCGAGGCTGGAAACTGCAATCAATGACCACATCTTGTTGCATGCAGACCGACCATGGCGAGTGCAACAACGTACATGACGAGGCTGGTGATGGCTCTTTTCTTAGAGAGTCTTTGGATATAGCCACGGGTTCGGTGTTCTCGGCGTAACTATGCCTCTGAATGCAGAAGCCCCGTGAGGACAGAGGCTGCTGGTTCAGGGCAAAGCTGCTCAATGACCCGTACTGCACCGATGCAAGCCGGGATCCTAGCGAATCAGAGCCCGAAGCATTCAACTGAAGCTGTTGGGATGTCCAGCAAGTATGTTTGGGATGTTGCAACTGGTATAGTTATTAACTGCCCTTCCTTAACTGCAACCATCGAAGGTTGTTATGTCCGTGCTGTTTCAATTTGTTGTGTTACCATCAAGGCGATTATTATCTTTGTTTGTCTTACCCGCAGAACCACACAGCCAATGCGTCATGTTGCAGCGGTGTCAGGCCGCTGCATCCACTTTGCAGCGCACGATGGCGAGCCGACAAACACCTTCAGCTGTCCCACATGGATACGAGATCCTGACGGCATCGGTTCCCTGGCTTCTTCGAGCTGGACATATGTGTAAACTGGGCTTTAGACATTTCCGGGATCTAGTCCTGACCTGTGTCGTGCTCGGATGGATGTCTTGGCAAGAATGCCCAACGGCCCAACAGCTGTTCACGTGGTTAAGGTGTGTTCTTCTCGGCTTCTCACCTGTGTCTACCGAGCCCTGAATGCTAAATCCTCTGTGCTTACCGAGGTTGCAGGCTGCCAAGATTCAACTGGCAAGCTTGCCCGATGAAGTTTGAGATGAAGCGGGTTGACACAGGCATCCCTCAGGACCCACAGCCTGGAATGCATGCCACCTGCACAAGCGACGGTGATGCTCGGAAGTCGTCACGAAATCCCTTGAAGCTGAACAAGCAGTTCCCCGTAAATCCGTAGAGCCGTAAAGCTTACGAATCCCTCAGGCCGTCCAGCGCTACTGTAAGCCCCACTCGTCTTGCCTCGCCGTCCCCATTGATTGCCCACTCCTGCAGGAATTCAAGCAGGCATTGAGCACCCCGTGCTCTGCAGCCAAAGCGCCAGAGGCCCCTCCCGTTCCAGAGAATCAATTTCCCGTTCGGTGCCCTGGCTGCTAAATGGGGGGGGGGGGGGGGGCAGAAGAGGATGCTCACTCTTGTTAGGAGACTCTGCAGCTGTAGTAGGTCTACTATCCTGGTACGAGCACTTCAGGACGGAGCGAAATTTATGCTGTGTTCGGATGTGGGTATAGAAAACGTTGTACATGTGAGCGCAGTAGAGTGCATGTGCATATATACCTGTTTACAGACCCACACAGATGTCTGTCTGCATGTATGTATGTATGTATGTATGTACGTATGTACGTATGTGTATATGTATGTACGTATTTATGTGTAAGTGTAAGTGTATATGTGCATGCGCATGTGCATGGGGCATGGGCATGTGCATGGGCAC